ATTGGCTATTTATATCTGGGGGCAAGTGTAGAACTGATGACTTGAGCTCTATCACTTTCCACTCATGTCTTAATGGTTCTTTTAGAGCCTGACCCAAGACCCACTGAAATCAACAGGGGTCTTTGAATTAGATTGCACTTTGCCCCTAAATTTCTTAGTGCCATTGTTTAATATGTTTTACTTCTATATGCAGTGCCTATTACAGAACATTCCGGTTACATTCTTTTCCACAACCAGGTAGCATAAATGATTTTTAACAAACTTACTGCAATACAGCCAGTTTGTTGGCAGACAGCACTGCCTATTAATTTTCTTGTTTCCTTTCTGACTGTTCAGAAACAATATTTCTTTAGATAAGTACTAGAAGAGTTGATCAACCATAAAGATTCATTTGGTGCCAGTAGTTCATAGCTGGCATGGAGGATAGAATACTCCTGCAAAATAAATCACCCTTGCAAAATAACTCAGGCTGCCAATCCAAATTTAGAGTTTCCTGGCCACTGGGCTTTGATAGGAATCCAACCCATATCTTAATGGGCACCCTAACATTTTAAACAAGATCCTATGTATGTTCATTCCATATGCATGGGAATATTAAGTGCCCCACTCAAAAAAGTCAGGATTGTGGTGGCCCTGACCATATAAATTTCTGGTTATGGGGATGTATTGTTATTCAGTTTAAATCTATATAATTATTTCGATAAAACTTACAACTGTCCTCCCTTCCCCCCACTTGATATTGCTCTACCACAAAAATTGTCTTGGGTTTTATAAAAGATATTTAAAGAGGTCTTCAGTTTTTCCAGCACTGACCATCCCCCAGTAGTAATCACCTACAGAATGGGTAGCCTTTATGAGATATGGTCTATACTCTGAGATGCACAAAACATTACAGCCCAAGGGTTTCATACCCTTGTAACTCACAATTAGAACAGGGAATTAGATAGTGGATGAATTATCTGACATACACAGCACTTACAAGTTTGATGTGCAAAAGTATGTGATTTTATCTGATAGTCAAATATCTAGAAATAGACAATAATCTTAATCAAATACCCAAGAAGTAACAAGCAAATAGTTAACAGGTCAACAAAGTGGAACGAACATCTGAAATTATTAACATATTTATGTACCGGTCTATTAGTGCATTGTCCACAGTACTTTACAGGTATCTCAATATGCCCATATCCTAATAAATTAAATTAGTCAAATAGATTATTCAAGAAAAATGACAAAAAATATTGACACATGAAATTTAATTAATAGGACTCACTGAGTTCTGGTATTGGATTTGCAAAAGGACCTAAGTGTCAATATGTTAATGTATTCCTAAATCATCTAGGACCTGGTTTTCAAAGATATTTGATGTCTAATGATGGGTGCCTAATGGGATTTTCAGAAGCACTTAAATAGGTTAGTCATTTGCTTTCTATTCACCTGAATTAAAATCCTCTCAATGCCTATCTGCATCTTTGGTTGCCTGTCTTTGTATATATTTTTGTAAATCTGGACTGCAGACAATTTAAAAAAATTCTACCTATGATTCTCAAGTATTATTTGGAACTATCTTCCAGGAATTTATTCATTCAATACAAACACAGCTGAAAAAAAAGATATATAGCTCCCAGATTGAAAAAACAGTTCTTTATTTGAAAATTAAATTAAGGGAAATATAATCATTTTATCCAACAGCAGAACAGTAAGGAAAAAGTATGCCTTTGTAATACAAAATGTCATTTATTTTAAGTGATCTTTTAAATCTTCTAAAGTCTGAGATGAGCTAGCCAGAATATCCCATATGCCTTAACATGGAACTATGATAGACTGTAGAAGGCTTGATCCCAGAATTAAACCCTGGTTACTAGAGTTAGGTTACATAATGTATCATCAATGTGAACTGAAAAAATACATTTCAGCTTTTCCTTTTCATCATTGGTTTATATTGATGACTTGTTTCATATTTCCACATAACATGTTTGCAATCATGGAAATCTATGCTTCTGATTCTACAGAATGGTCTTTTCATCAATGAACTATTGTTTTTTGGTTCTTACAACCAGTGCACTTGCAGAAGTCAGACAATACTACCGTGCTTTTAAGAACATTAATTAAGAGTCTGAAAGTGGATTCCAAACCCAACAGTTGAATTTGATAACAGCTCATTTGAGCCCAAGAAAAAACCCTCTGAGCTTCAGGAGAATCCCATAGTGTTATAGTAGTAAGGATTTAAATAATAATCAAGCATTCTGGAAAGCTGCAATGACTTCAGAACATGCCCTAGCTTTTAAATAATACGGGTACTTCATACCTATCTTATCAGTGTTGTAACTAGAGTGGGGTGACTAGGGCAGTTGCCTTGGGTACTATCTTGGTCAGAGAGGAGTGGAAAAAATCAGTTGCTGCCACAGCCATGCAGTCATGATTGCAGCTGCAGCAGCAACCAGAAATCACTCTGTGCAAGGCAGCTGCCCCAGGCACCTGGCTGGATCATTATACCTCTGTAGCTTTGTATGGTCCTTACACCAGTGCTGAAGCCAATATACTGGATTAAATGGAGCACTGGTCTGATCCAGTCTAAAAGTTTCTATAGTCCCTGGATGATCTCCATCAAAATGTTGAATGGCAGCATGCTCAGCTATGGCAATATTAAATTAGATATGTTTCATCGCTGGCACCCAACCTCCAATGCATGGGCCAAATCCAGCCAATGGGGCCATGCTATCTGGCTTGCAGGGTGTCCCATGGGCCCAGAAATTTGGTGGCAGGGGAGTGCTGGCAGCCAAATTTCTGTGCTGGAAGCCATGACAGTTGATGTGGGGAGCACTGCAGACCAGATGACATGGACCCACATGCTAGATCGTGTTGGTGCACAGGCTCTGTCTGCAGCTAGAACCATCACACAGAGGTGAGCCAGCATGGAGGGTGAGGCCATGGGTAGATCTGGCACATGGGGTGACTTCACGGCTAGATCCTACATGTGGGGTTACTCTGTAGGTGAAGCTGGCGCACAGAACCTGGCCAGCACACCAGATAGTATCTATGGACTGCCCCCATGCTGGATCAGGCCTGCAGACAGATGCCGTCTATAGAACCTGACCTGTGGCCCGGGCCTGCACCACTCATCCAGCTTGTGGGGCCAGAAGTTGGAATGCCGCTGTATTTCATCATCATAATACGCGTTCATTGCCTCATCCTACCTAGAAGGCTGTCTCCTTGTAGCTTCTGAAAACTCATTTGTAATCCCACTAAAATTATTCTTTTCTTGGTTGTCACACATCCCACAACCGTATTTCAGAAAGATTAAGAGACTCAACCCTAAGCCTGCAATTTAGTCATCTCTCTCTCCACCACATTAGAAAATCAAGAGTAATCATGGAACACAGAGCAAATTGTTCTATTCATGAGTGCTGTGGTGTAAGGTTATCTATTCTGCAAAGCATGTCAGTCTGACCTTGTGTGAGCAGCTGAATAAGAAAAGAGAGAAAATACTCCCTTGTCATTCAGTCTTGCATGGTAGATAGGACTTTGCTGGCCCTCTGCACATGAGTGAATTTCACTGTGTGTGACGACCCAAGGGCAGAGTTCAGACCGTGGTATTGATCACAATGCATGCATATGCATTATTGCAGTAACTGAGAGTATGCATCTTTCCTTGAAAGCCAGCATGTAATGCAGTCAAAGCCAGTGAGATCTTAAATAACTGGCTGTGGAATTACAAGGCATGCAAGTTAAAATGATCACATCTGTGTACCTGCGGTTTTTGAAAATATCCACGTTTCTTGCTGATGTATTAATATACTGGCTGCTCATTTGGATCTAGTTCTCCTACTTCTTTCTTTAGCCACCCCCTTTTACACCTTTCATGCCTCGTTGCATCATAAACCTGTTCATTGACAACTTCTTCAACCAGAAGTCAAGGTGGATGAATTGGGATATTATGCAAATGAGACTAAAGAGGTGTTGTGTTCACACAGTTTTCCATCTCACTTAATGTTGAATGGATTTTAAATGTACTGACATTAAAGCCCTTTGGTCCATTTTTTCCCTCCGGCAACCATTCCATTGTCATCAGTGGGATTATGCCACCTTAAACAAGAACTGAATTGGACTTGTCATCTGTAACTGATAGTCTTGTGAGTGGTAATTACATCTTATCTGCCTGGACAGATTCTTTTCTGGTTACCTCTCCCTCCTAGTCCCAATTGCACAGACCACCTATTTGTGTTCATTTGTGGCAACTACAGTTATTGCACATATGGAAAAGTAACACAAGGAAAGCATTTAATTATTTTCATCTGTCTTCACTGCGATTAGCAAGAAAGAGGGCCAGCATTTGGATGAGTGTTGTCATTTTGATGGGGTCTACCTAAAAGAAGACTTCACACCAAGTTTTGCTAAGCTCTATATCAGTAGTTCTCAGGGTAGCCCCACTTTTTTTTTAATCTCAATCAGTGTAACTTTCATCACGAGATAAAGCTGACTTTTATGCCTCATGCACAGATTGGGAAGGGCAGTGGTGCATGCACACTCTCCTACCTCGTTAGGGTTCTCCAATGAGCCTACAGCATCAGTGGCAGTAGTGCTTGTACAGCGGCACCCCTGAATGTAATGAGGCCAGGACAGAACCCTTGACCCAGCCAATCCCAATGAAGAGATCAGGGCAAGCCACCCCGAGAGCAAGTGCCACCTGCAGCAAGCCCAGAGCAGTACCCTTGTCCTAACTGGATTGAGTGAGGCAATCAGGGCAGCCAACCTCCTTGAAGTCACAGTCTGCAGGCCCCATTTGCTCTATCCCATAAAAGCCAGGCCCAACCCACAGTCTCTTTGCCTAAGCAAAGGTGAAAATTCTTGCTCCTGACCTTTTGTGTACTCCCTTGCTGATCTTCAGGCTTTTAATCCTGGCTTTGACCCCAGCAAGAACTTTGGCATTCTTTGATTCCAGTTCGCTGCTTGTGATTCAGGATTGACCTTCAACTCTGGCTTTTGTTTTCTGTTCCCAGTGAATCCTTGGTTTGCCTTGTCCCTGGCTTTGGCTTCTGACCCCTTTGGTTCATCCTGATTTTGGCTACCACTTCTGAATCTGGTTCTGACACCAGACCCCTCTGGATACCAGGTCCCTGGGGGACCAACCTGAACTACACCCAAACTTTGGGTAAGTAATCTAGGCTGGACCTTCTGCTCTGCAGTCCATAACACTGAGGAAGTCTGCCAGCACAGCATCCACATTGAAAACCACTGCCCTACATTCTAGACATCTCATGAAATCTACGGCTCTTGGTCTACCTGACCAACAGCTGGCTGGAATTATCACCTTTCAACGCAACATGGACTAATGTCAAGCCCCTGGTTACCCACCTGTAGTAATGTAAAGCAATGCAGGCAGGAATTACAGAGGACCTCATAAAGGATAGCAAAACATATGCTTGTGATATTTTTTGCTTGCATGTCTGAAGGGGGCCTGATTTTTTTTTTAAGTTTTTTTTTTTCATGGCTTTTTTTATTATAAAACTATGGTTTGTGATGCCTGGAAGACTCTGGCAGTCTAGGGAAGAAAAGCACAAATGAAACCAGACTAATTGAGAGCAGAAGTGATAAAGTTATACCTGCCATTTAAAATTCTTTTGACCAGATTCTCAGTTGGTGCAACCATTGAAATAAATGACACTGGTTTACAGCAGCTGAAGTTCCAACCCTGGGGTTATTGTTTCTTTTTGTCAACAACTATTTAACTCAAATGGCTGTGTAAATAGTCAGGAAAAAAGCTCTTTTTGTGAAAATTTCCATTCCCTCAACCCCTCTAGTTGAGGGCAAAGAAAGCTCACGGCTAAACATACTGTAATATTAATCTCTTAGATTTCCTCTAAGAATATATGAGATATAAAAAAATTTCACTGCCAAACAGAACAGACTTGCATTACTTCCCAATAATGTATCAATGTATAGGAGTTGTGTTCACAGAGCTATATGCTATATTTCATAGATTTCATAGATGTTAGGGCTGGAAGGGACCTCAAAGATCATCAAGTCCAGCCCCCTGCCCCAGGGGCAGGAAGTCAGCTGGGGTCAAAGGATCACAGCAAGATAAGCATCTAAACATTTCTTGAATGGGTCCAGAGTAGGTGCCTGCACCACTTCTGAAGGGAGTCTATTCCAGGTGTTGGGGGCTTGGACAGTAGAGAAATTTTTCCTTATGTCCAGCCTAAAACGGTGTTGGAGGAGTTTGACTGTTGGTCCTTGTTTTTCCTTGGGGGACTGTGTTGAACAGACATTCTCCCAGATCCTGATGTACACCCCTTATATACTTATAAGCAGCCACCAGGGCCCCCCTGAGCCTGCACTTTTCCAGGCTGAAGAGTCCCGTGGCTCTTATATATATATATAATTTAGGAGACTGTTCTAAAACCAACAAAAAAGCAAGAATTTGAAAATAGTCTGGAATGATGTCCAGTTTCTTCATTTGCTTTCCCAAGTGTTTGTTAGCCTGTCACTTCTCAACCTGTTTTGCCTCTCACTTTCCAATGCAGTTGTGCCTATAGAAAACTTGTTAACTATGTGCTGTATGAGATTTATAGTATGTATCTCCTGTTATCTCCCAATGTACCTTTTTAAAAAGCAAATTAAGGAGACTTTTGTATAGAGTGTTCTACATATCGATCTCTCATTTTCACATATACTTCTTGACTTTGTTTCTTTTATTTTCTGTATCAGAAAATGAATCAGTTCATTAGGGAGGTGAAATAATTAAACCTATTGATTGCTTTTTATAGCCAAGTAACTGACATCTTATCATGTTTGGATTCTTTGCCAAGAGCTATGCAGTAGGGCTTTTTGTAGGAGTCTGACAGCTGTACTAGCCATTTTCCTTTGCTTGATTGTCTTATTTCTACAGGTGGAGTTCCTGAAAATATTAACATTGATTAATGTTGCTGTAAGATGAGATTTCATTTTGTAAAATCCATATTAAAGGCTAGACATTTTTTTCTTTCTCACTTTTTTTCCCTTTTATCTTTCTTTCTTTTCATTTTGGAGGAACACAAATAGATCAGCCCGTTTACTAACAGACTGAATGCTGACACCACTGTTTCCATAGCAACGTGCCAGTTTGCGCAAGCATCCAAAGACGCTTTTAAAAACAGAAATATCAGATAACACTAGGGAGTTGCTTCAGACAACATGTATAGATATACGTCAGAGCCATCTGAAATTTGCCTATTTCCATCAGTCATTGATTATAGTATACTCTAAAAACGCAAAATTTGGGTTTACAGTTTATCTTATATATTTGTAGTTTGGGAGCACAGGGCCCATGGCAGACTTAACTCAGGGTTATTCACACAGGGCACATCTACATATGCTATTGATGGGCTGTAAGCTTACTGTGCAGTAAAATACTATGCAGTAAGATTTCCCTGGGAGCATGTCTACATGTGTGCCTGTTGGGAGCAATTCAGTGCAGGGCTACTCCTGCTCTGCCCCCTTACAGAAGCCAGGGGGAGCTCAAGGCTTCCCTGGTGTCAGCCCTAGGCTGGCAGGGTCAGGCCTGGGCTCTGGAGGGTGGGAGGAACTGTCCCACCTCTGGGGCAGCTGCCTCCCATCCCTGCCCCCCAATCAGTGTATCAGGGCACAGCACTGGGAAATGGTCTCTTCCCCCAGCAGCTTTCCCAACCCCATGCCCCAATCAGGGGAGGAGACTGTTTCCCCACCCCCTGCTGCCAAGGCTGACCAGGAGCAAATTGCCAACTGCATAGTAGACTAATTTACTGCACAGTAAATGCTGCACATGTGTAGACTGTTAATCTACTGCACAGTAAAGCATCTTGTATAGACACAGCCACTGATCTCTTGCCCACATACTTTATAGGAATTAACATCACATGTTACCTTGTTGGCTTTCTCCCTCTTGCAGATCTTTTAAGTGATGAAACTCCAAATAAACTATCAGGTGAGGTGTGGGTAATCAACATAGAAATGCATTAACTTTATAACATAAGTGGGTGTTTGGTAGGGTTGGGTGATTGGTAGGGTGATTGGTGATGGAGCTTGAGGGAGTGCTCAAGTGATGAAGGTGATGGAGTACTTGCTTGATGTACTTATCTCTTGTAGTGAAAATGGTTTTAAACAAATATTTTTTTTCTTTTTAAAACAGCCCATCTGACTGCTACCGTGGGGAAAAAACACTTTAGCCTGTTTTAGACCATTATAGGCAATCTTTTTGTTTATTTGTTTTCTTCCAACTCATTTTCAGGAGAAAATAATTTTTTAGGGAGATATCTTTTATTGGACCATGCAGTTGGGATAAAGTTAGACAAGCTTTTGAATGCGAGACAGTCTTCCTAAGGCCAATCATGACAGAGTAAAGAACAGCAGTTGGAGGGGGTCAAGAGGTAACACACTGGCCAGATTTCCAAAGCTGACTAGAATGTCTACCTGTTAGCTGGCAGGTCCATACTTGTTCTAGCTACAAAACAAATACCTGTACATGCAAGTACTAATTTATAAATACCCACTTTGTACTGCTATATGTGTATAATATATGTTAAGTGACTTCAGGGCGATGCGTGGTGGGTGCACAACAGTGCCAGCGGCATCTGTGGGAGCTCACCACTCACTGCTGCTGGGCTCCTGCCACCACCGGTGCAGCCATGCCCTACCAGCTGCCAAAGGCATGCACCATTCATGAATGACTTCATCTGTCTTGCTGATGGTTCCTACAGGAAGATGGGGACCTACTGCAACTGCTGGTTTATACTTGGACCTGCTACCTGACATGGTAAGTTTGCAAAATCTACATGCTTTGTGGTGTGTTAGGTGCAAATTCTGATGATGTCCCCAGTTGGGGAGCTGGTATAAAATATGGCACACCAGCAAGGTGCTTGAATTTTGGCAGCGCTCAGACACTCAGGGCAAGGAAAAAATCTAACTGGAACAATGGTGGTCTTTGTTTCTCTCTATTCAGTGGCTAGTCCATATAAGAGAATGAAACTGCCAGCTCACTGAATTAATAGTCTGCAGTTAGTCACCAGCCTTCAGCAGTAGATTTTGCATGAAAAAATGCATCCTGTAAATTTGCTTCTCATTCTACCTGCAGATGTCTCCCCTTTCATAACAAATAATAGCATTTTATTTATATGAGAGAATGGTCCAAAACCAAGAAATGTAATGCACCAGATTGTGTTGTTATCCTGATTAGGATAATCAGTTTTCAGCTAATAATTTAACCATAAACTTTTCCCTTTGGGCTTGATAAATGAAGTTACATTTACATTTACGTTTACATTTGTGAACATATTTAATTAGTAATATGGACACATTGAAAAGTAAAGGATCTTATAAAATTCCACATCAATAATACACCTTATAAATGCATCGGCAAGCTGAACTAAAGAGCTGCCATGTGTAGAAATCCTAGAATTATTTCCACTCTGAACTCTTTAATTAAGGGGCATGGAAAATATATATGTTTGGAAATTTGGGGGGTTAGAAGAAAACTGAAATTTCACAAAAATTTCCAGGTTGTTCTAATTTTCAGATCAGCTGTACTATACAGTGGTTTCTATGTTGGACTCGCAGAAAAAAATCCAAACTATTTTCAAGTCTTTTGTTTAGCAACAGATGTGATGGGGCAAATACATTTAATTACTAAATCATAATGCTTATTTTACTCTTCCTCTCCTCAGCTTTGATGTAGCAAGCCACTTGTCTCTTGTGATCCTTCCAGAAGACCTGCCTGACTGCATGGTACAGCATTTTGTGGCTCCAATTCCTACTGAATTAGACTAGAATGTTAATTGCTGACAGCTTCCGGTGCCCAATGCCTCCCGAATGCTGAGTTCCATAGGCTCAATGCTATCTTGCCCTTTAAAAAAATTGCTATATGACACCCCTTGTAAGATTTCATGGACTATATTGCCATAACACTACACTACTGACATGCATTTTTTTCTCTTTAGCAAATGGAAAAATTGCCATCATCGGGAAGATACCATGAAAAGATTAGCCTCTGGAATAGTAGCTGAAAACAACACTGACAGAATGATATTGGAAGGAAGAGGGAAATATTTGGGGGAACTAGGCAATACATTGATATTTCTATCAAGGGCCCTCTATGTTTCAAGGTAGGATGAAGGCTGGGAATCTTACTGGACATACCACAAAGCCCTACTCTCATTTTGAGTGACAGGGGTAAGAAATATCTTTCTCTTCTACTTTCCAGAAAAATATCAACTTTCCTTTCAGGTGAGGATTTAGGTCTAGATGTGTACATTCCTTCTAGTTTGGACTACTATCACTTACTGTACTTGATACTAAAAGTGGAGGCAATATAGAAATTCCAACTTGTTTGTCATTCAGCGACCTTCCACCTTACCAGGAAAAACACCTAGAACACATCATATTAGTACTCTGTACACTCCTTCAGTTTTGAGGTCACTTCCAGTACCAGTTCCGACGCACAATTTGGTCTGTAAAGACTTCACTTGGTTAGGATGTTTCCTATGTTTCCCTTAAATAATTCAGCTATGCCAAGAGAAGCTCTGGGAAGAAGGGGAGAAAGAGACTCTTAGTCAAAGTTACTGTCCCCTGCTACCCACATCCCAAAATAATTTTTAATAAGAAAATATTACAATACTGGAGAGAGGCAAAAAGAAGACAGCATTCTGGGCATCTTATTATATTAAGTACTTATAAGATTTGATCTTGTTGAATTAGGTTCAGAAAAAATGTAACTATGTATAACCACTATTTGAAGAGAGTGATAAATGTTTGTTGTGTGATATTTTCAGTGGAAGCTTATGTTTTGCTCTTCAATAGATGTGACCATTTAGGGCTCTGCCCCACTCAGATTTCCTGGATGTGTAGCTGATGAATGTTAGAATATATTTCCCACTATAGGCATATTTACTAGAATCATCTGAATGATACTACACAGTCACCTTAACCTAACTGCTTCCCAAGGGTTAAAGTAGCAAAAACTTTTCAATTTGTTTCACATGCACAGAAATTGCAAAAAAATGTTACAGGGGAAAGGTGTCACAGAAATATTTTAATGTCTTTTATTATTTATTTTAGTTTTTGCAACTTTTCTAATCAAATTAACTAGCAGCTGCTTTTTACTAGACTACTCTATTCATTTTACTAATACTTTGACATTTTATGTTAAATTATATATTATTTAGGAAATTAAATGCTTTTTTCCCCATGTTGAAGCCAGGTATCTGTGTGGCCCCAACCAATAACCCTAAGAACTGACAGAAAAATGGCAAGACTTAATTCATCAGTAGCTTCCTATTATAGTTCTATATCAAAAGAAAAACAGTACTGATAACTTCTCCTTAAAACAGCATCTCCAAATCACTATGTGAAATGGTTGTATTTCTAAACGGGATATAAACAAAATAATTTGTACTCTGTAAGCACAGCAAAACCTTGTTGTATCTGAGTCCTCAGATCTTGCAGAGATCCAAAATAGTCAGTGTGTCAAGTACTTTCTAGACTTTCATCTTCTGTGAGTTCAAAAACTGGGTTTTATTACGGATAAATCCAACCCTACTTCCTGCCAGTAAGAGATTGCCTTCTGATTTTTTGTCCAAATTTTCCTAGTAAGACCAGGCAACTTAATATCTCTTAAAAAAAAAAAAAAAAAAAATGTCAGTAGTGTTTCCTGTCTGAATGCATACAGTATCAGTATCTTAACTGACCATTTCATTTGTGTTAGGTATTACATTCAGTGATCACACAATCTTTCCCAAGTAATAATGGGGCATTCACCACTTTCAGGTCATTCATACTGATACTGAATAAAAACTAGAATATCTATTTATAATAATCTTCCAGCAGGAAGGTCTCCTGAACTTGAGGTATAACAAGCTAAGAAGTATTTTAAGTCTATACAATATTTAAGGTGGTTTGGTTGTTTTAAGTGAGAAATGTCGGGGCTGGCGTGGTGTGACGTGGACACTAAGGTGCATGGTTGACAGCTTAGAGGTTGCAAATTTGAGGCCATAGCAGAAGCACTCATGGTGCACCCATGTCTGATCCCAACGATTCTATGAATTCTGCTAAATACTTTGTTGCAAGGGCATGAAAAAGAAAGGGACGGGAACTGTAAATGAAATGCTAACAGCCAAGATTCACCTCCTGCCTGTGTGCTGTTACTGAAAATGGCATGGCTGAGACAGTATTGCATCTGTGCTGAGTGTATTGATTTCTCCATGATAAATGCATATTGCACATACAGTAGTCTGAATATCTTTCCTTTATATTGCTCCCTTGTCCTCTAGGAATAATACACTCTGTTGCACATGGACACATTTAATTGATAATGCTATTCCTATGGACAGGCCAACCGTAGTATTTAAAAGAGTACATTTCAACTCAAGTGAGTTACAGCAGTTTCTCTTTGATCACAACAGCCCTTTATCAATGGCTAAATTCTGATTAGCCCTTGTGTGAATGCATAGCAATAGTGAAGAAAAATCATTCCTTCCACTTTGTCTAGCCTGTAAAGGCAGTGGCAATGCATAGGGGATGCACGTGCACCTCCTGAGAGCACTGGTGCACCCCCTCACAGCAGCGTTCACTGCTTAGGCGGTGGGCGAGGGGGGCAGGCAGGAGCACTGGTGCTCCCCCTTAGAGTGCCGGCTGGAGAGTGGGGGTGCCAGGAGAAGTGCCACTGGCCCTTCTGGGTGTGCTGCTGGCATTTCTGGGCAGCGTTCCCTTCTAGAGCCAGCTTATAGGGAATACTGATTCTGGGTTGGTGCGCGCAACCTGCCAAGGGGGGAATCCCCCCACAACCTAGTCATCACAATCAGCCATGGGGGGAACCTCCCTGTCCCTGACTGGCTGCTGGGGGGGACAAGTGCCCCCTGCTGAGTCAGGTGGCACCAGTCACTCATGTGTAAAGGGGTAAGGCACCATTAGAGTCCTATGCTCAAGGACTATTCC